CATTTGAAAGAGAGGGGCACTTTTATCAAAGCATCAGCCCTTCTGCCAAAGCCCAGTGTAATCACCTGAAGAATAGAAGGGAATACTTGGCATCTGTTACTGCACCCTTATTTCTCTGCCTTTCAGCTGGAAGGACAGATCGACTTTCTGTCTGTCTTAATGGAAAACGAATCTATCTTAGGGTAGTGACAACCTAAGAGATAATTTCTTCTAGGTAAAGAAATGTCAGTGTGAATAGCATCTATAAAATTGCCATTTGTCCTGGGATTGTGAAAGAGTCTGAGGATGCCCAAGGGATGTGATCTGGAATCAACTGTTCCCAACTCCATCTTCATCCCCAAGCTCTCTGCTATCTTCTAAGCCAGAGGTACCAATCTGGGCAGTACTTTGTCTGGCTTTTCCCAAGGTAACTACCCCCTGCCCCCACACAGCCCCCTGCTTTTATCCTTAGTTCTAAGTTCCAGAAACATAAGGAACATGGCAGCTTCCCACTGGGAGGTGCCCTTTTGTCAGTTTAGGACCTGATTTTTCTTTCAGCCCTTTCCCTGACTCTTTTTTTTTCTGTTAGGTCATATGTATTCTCAAAGGGCAGAAACCCTCAGCTGTCTACACTGGGTTTTTAAATATTTCAAGTGATAACTAGAGATGTGTATTAAATTATCCTGGAGGCCATAGATAAACAGGATGAGTATCTTGGATGGAAAATCTTATAATCCAACTAGATTGTGAACCTCTTGAAGGCAGGTGGGAATGCTATATCTGATAAAACACTAATCTTCCCATAGTCTGACAAGTTTAGTAAACTGAGCGAGTATTACCCAGTGGATAAACTGCTGGATCAGGAGTGATGAAACCTGAGTTATAGTCTAGGCTCTGCCAAGCTGTGTGATTTTTTTGACATTATCACAATCTCTGACACTACTACTGTCATTCCTGTCCTACATCAGGCCTTGGTTTCCTGGTTTAGTTAATGGCCATTTCTAATGTCCAGTCCTGGCTAGTTTTCATATTTATCTGTAAAATGAATGAAAGGTAGGCTAAAGGATGCCTAAGAGCCCTACTAGCAACAAAATGTTTTCAAATGTACTTTTAAAACACATGCTCTTTGGGAGCCATAGAAACTTGTGGTCTATAAGTCATTTGAGCTGGAGACAATTACCGTGTGGCAATGTCATAGACACACAGCTCAAAATCAAAACTGCTAAAAGTGGGTAGACAATTTCAAGTCCATGATGTTCTGGAGAGCTTACATATAAGGAGGCACATTGTGTTCTACTGAGGTTTGTTTCAAAAATAGACTTCTTAGCGATACAAGGTGCCCCAACATCAATCTTGATTGATTTTCTTTAGAAGAAAAAAGACCACTTAGAAATGATCTGAAAAGAGGCTGATTGGCTTATTTCATCTTTAACAAATTTAATTCATTTTGACTCTTTGCTCGAGACTTACAGCAGATACTGAAATCTCCCTGGCAAAGCTTTTTTCATGTGTCTTTCTTCATTTTTTAAACTCTGATCTGTTTTACATACTAAAAGCATAATAGAAAATACCCTAAAGATAAAGCAGTGCCTATCTTTGTAGTTTTAATGTTCATTACAAGGAATAGTTCCATGTTCTCTGTCCTTTTGCTTATTAAGCACTTAGGGAAGTCTTTGGGGATTTTCTGCCCTTCTTTTTCTTAAGTTGCTTGCAAACCATAAAAGAGAACAGGCCTGCCAGAAAAGAATGCCTGTGTTTTCACTTTTCTCCATTTCTACCAATAATAGAGATGTTAAAAACTTCCCAAAGCTGAAAGAGTAAAACTTCTAAATGTGAAGACACATTTAGCTTATGAGAACATCAGCCTCCCTAACAGAGAGCTCTCATCCCAAACATGACAAAAACATCCATTTGTTATACACACACGTTTTAGAGGAAAGTTAAATTTGGCAGTCCCCTCAAATGGGTTGGTTTGCTTTTGGTTTCCTGGGGTCATCTTGTGTTAAAATCTGAGAAAGCATCAGAAACTTGTTCTAGATCATGGGAGAGAAGAGGACATTTCTGTAAGAGCCTTCCATGGCTATTACTTTTGTCTTCAGTAGAAAAAATTGGAGGGAAAAGATAGGAAGATTTCTCTAGGAGAAATGAACTTATTCAGCAGTAGAGAGATGGCTTCTAAATTACTAAACAAATAAAGAACTCTGTAATTCTCAAGCTCCCTCACTCACACAAATATAAATTGGAAAGAGGAAGAGAATGTGGAGATTGTGGGTTCAGTACAGAAGACATGACACAGGAGAGACCGAAACCCAGGAGGGAGCTGGTCTTTGTCTGAACAGTGTCAGGAAATCTGCACATCACTGTGTCTAACGTCCTGTTCAATGCCAGGAGGGCACTGAGCTATTTATAGAGTGTGGCAGGTTTTCTTTTGAGGCACTAGAGAGCTCTGGCTATTGAGTCACGATGGGCTGGTAGAGCTCATGTCATCTGTACTGTGGTCCAGTAGAAACTGATGCCCTAAATTCCTTGCCATGCTTCTGTAGCCAAACGTTCTTCTCAGAATGGCTAAGGCACCAAGGGCCTTTGCAGTAAATTTGAACTGTCTTTTAGGATGGAGGGGTCTGAAACAACACTTTGGCAGTTGGGCAGTATTAGGCAATGGTTAAATAACATGGACTTCATAATCAAAGACCTGGGTTCACATCATTGGGTCACTACAAGCTGATTGGTCTTGGAGTGAGACCTCGCCTCTCTAGGCTTCAATTTTCTCATCTGCAGAATGATGTTAATAATGGCACCTTCCTTCGAAGCATGTTGTGAGGATTAAGTTACATGATGCCTTTAAAGCAATTAGCACAGTATCCAACAACGAGGAAATATGCAACAAATGGTAGCTAGTAATTAATAATAATAACAGAAATGATGTCATTATAGGATTACCTCTTAGCATGAGCTTGATTTAATGAACATTGGCTGGGCATTACTGCACTCAGCCATTTGTTCATTAGAGCAAAAAGTGAGTATCTACTATGTACCAAGTAATGTACTAAGAGCATTGGAGAGCTGTTTGCAAGAGGGGACCCATTTTGACCCCAAGTGTTCAGAGAAAGAGGGACAAGAAAGGGAAGAAGATTTGGTCATCAACTTGTGAAATAAGAGGCTAGAGCTGTGTCAAGACCATTCAGAGCTTCTCAGGGTCCTTGGAAAGCATGGCAGGTGCTATGCCATTTGTTCTACCCCCTCTTTCTGGCATTAGAAATTCTTCTTTTTCCTGTAACTGGGCTGACTTGAGTCCCATCTACAACTGGGCCCTGCCCCAGTTCCCAGGACTAACCTTGACCCAAGAAAGAAGATAGTTGGCTCCAGCCCCGTAGCTGGAGGCTAAGGTTCAAACTGCCTTGCTGCTTGTCTGACTGAAGGAAAGTGCCCTGGTTTTTATACTTGAGGTCCAGTCTCATTTTAAGCTTAAATTCCCTTTCCATGCCCTTGTAGTTTTAGAAATGAGCTTCTTCCATTGTGCTTGTTGCCAAGGACTTGTTACAAAACCTTATTTAGAGACCCCAGTACTATCTTAGCTTCAACAGCTACACCATATTCTTGCTGATTCCTATATCAAGCACTAGAGTCTTTATCCTGAATTTTTAGTCTAAAGTGTAACTTGGATGTTTGCTTCTTGGTACATTCACTCTCTAAAAGCCTGTCTTTTCTTAACCAGTTGTCTAGACAGGGACTGGTCATTGCAAATAATACTTTCCTGTTAGAACTAAACCTTTTCTGCCACCACCTGCACTTGGGTTAGTTCTCTAGTGACTGGGTCACCCAGTGGGCTATTCTTATGCTCAGTTCTATTTCTCTCTGTATGCCTCACTAGGCAGCCCAAGATGTGACATTCCTAATCAGAGGCCAAAATCTTTTAAAGCAAAGGCACTGAGTAGCTCTGAAGATAGTGCTGTACCCTTTTTAAAAGTAATTATCAGTATAATTCTTTTGTACTTATCCCATGGGCAAGCCCTTGGCAGAGCCATTCTGTTCATTCATTAATTTATTCAACAAGTATTTGTCAAACTTCCATTATTTGCCAGGCTCTTAGATATTGAAATGAATCAATATCTGTCCTCAAGGAGTTCATAGTCTACTTGGGGCAGCTGAACTTGTAAATACATTATTGTAATACAAGTTCAAATGTACTACAAGAAAGCAAAAGTTACCCTAAGGAAGCAAAAAGCAGGGGCACCTAACCAGACTGCAGGTGCGTAAATGGGACTAGGGAAGGGTTCCTGAAAGAAATGATACCTCTGAGTTCTGGAGGGACTGTAGGTGATGTTAGCTGGCTAAGATAGGCAAATGCACTTCCAGGCATGCCCTAAGTGACAGCTGGGCACCTTCAGAGAACAACACATGCTTCGCTATAGCTGGAACATTGAGTGTGAAGGGGAAAGAGTACAAGATGAAGTTAGAGAGGTAGGCAGGTGCCAGATTATGAAGTGCCTTATTTATTATGCTAAGGAATTTGAATTTTAAAGGAGGAAATTATAATAATGTAGAGATCTGATTTGCCAGGATAAGAGCAGAGGCAGGGAAGCAAGTTAAGTGACTCAACCTGAACTAAGTTGATGATGGTGGGAATGAGGAGTGTATCTGGATTTGAGAGACTTAAGAGCAGAATTGATAGGATATAGTGACTGAATAGATATGAGAGAAGCAATGAGAAAAGGTGATCAGGTTGTATAGGCAACTAGGTGGGTGGTGATTCTGCTGCCTGAGACAGGAAACACAGAAGGAACAGATTTTCAACAGAGGGCAGCTTGTGCTTTATGTTGCCAAATAGAGTTTCCCAATTCTACTTTCCTTTTAGTAATATAATTCTGTTATCCAAAAGATGCTACTGATAAACTCCTTTTACAGAATGCAACTGTAGATGAAAACTATACAACTGGATAAGTATTACACTTGAAAATTAAATCTTCTTTGTTAACTGGAAAGCATAGAAATAAATTAAAATAGAGTTGAAAAGAACTTACCCCATAGACAAGTTCCCCAACCATGCCATTCCATATTTTAGTCTCCGGATCCCTTGCACCATATTTCCCATCGCCAACAATGGACAGTTTGTATTTGATCCTTACATGTTTGGCTATTTCATAGGCTAAGTCTACACAATAGCCTTCGTATCGCTCGTTTCCTTCCAGCTGCTCATGATTCTTCTTATACATAACATATGGTGATTCCTTTAAGATCAGAAGAAGATCAAAGGATTACTCCTATACATTTTTCTAAGAAATGATATATGTAATCATGAAGTCCCCAACCCACCATGGTGACTGCACTTTGGTGTGTGAAAAGAGTCCTTAAATTTTTTTTTGCTCAATAAGCAGAAGAGCCTCAACCAACTATTCATTGGGCTGCATATTCCTTGAAGTCCTTAACTAATGATTAAAGGAAGTAGAGAAAGATTTATATTATTTTTGAGAGTTTGAAAGAAGGACCGGTTTTTACCTATAAGGTCTTTGATTTAGTCAAACTGGGCAGAGATATTTTCCTTAGTTAAAATGAACATGAACTGCCTTTGATTTCTTGGGATTTATCATGTAGGAACCATAGGCCTCCCTGGCAAGCCCTAGGGAAGCACTGTGATCTTTGTGAGGTCAGGGTCTGTGACTTACTCATATTTATATCCTCAGGGTTTAGTTAGTACCTAGGACTAAGTAAGTATTTGATATATATGTTTAAATGAAAGGTAAACTCCAGCCAAATCTCTATTCAGTTAATCACAATTTCAGACCTAGTAGCATACTTGTTTTTAACTCAGATTTGTACTTTAGTCAGTAAAAAATTTTTTAGCTTTTAGAAAGACATTTTTAACCTAAATGAGGATACTCTATCACCTTTCAATAGTGCTTTGATTTTGCAGAAAAGCTTTACATAGTGAATATTGCCTTGAAATAGTCTTATCACATAGATATGAGATTATTATTATATCCATTCCATAAATTTATTTTTTTATTATTTTTTATTGATTATACTATTACAGCTGTCCCAATTTTTCCCCCTTTGTCCTCTTCCACCCCGCACCCCCCATTCTCTCAGGCCATCCCCACACCATTGTTCACGTCCATGGATCATAAGTTCTTTGGCTACTCCATTTCCTATTCTGTACTTTACATCCCCATGGCTATTCTGTAACTACCTATTGTACTTCTTAATCCCTTTGCCTCCTCACCCATTCTCCAATACCCCCTTCCCATCTGGCAACCATCAAAATGCTCTCTGTATCCATGATTCTGTCTCTGTTCTTCTTGTTGCTTAGTTTGTTTATTAGATTCAATTGTTGATAGAAATGTATTTATTGCCATTTTATTGTTCATAGTTTTAATCTTTTTCTCTTAAATAAGCCCCTTTAACATTTCATATAATAATTGTTTGATAATGATAAGCTCCTTTAGTTTTTTCTTGTCTGGGAAGCATTTATCTGCCCCTCAACTCTAAATGATAGCTTTGTTGGGTAGAACAATCTTGGCTGTACGTCCCTGCTTTTTATGACTTTGAATATTTTTTGCCAATCCCTTCCAGCCTGCAAAGTTTCTTTTGAGAAATCAGCTGGTAGTATTATGGGAACTTCCCTATAAGTAACTAACTGCTTTTGTCTTGCTGTTTTTAAGATCCTTTTTATCTTTAATCTTTGGCATTTTAATTTTGATGTGTCTTGAAGTGGGCCTCTTTGTATCCATTTTGTTTGGAACTATCTGTGCTTCTGGACTTGCATGTCTATTTCCTTCACCAAATTAGGGAAGTTTCTTTTCATTATTTTTCAGATAGATTTCTGATTTTTTGTTCTTTCTCTTCTCTTCTAGCACCCCTATGATGCAAATGTTGAACCTCTTGAAATTGTCCCAGAGGCTGCTTACACTTTCCTCGATATTTTGTATTTTTTTCCTTCTTATTGTGTTGATTGGTTGTTTTTTGCTTCCTTCTGTTCCAAATCATCGACTTGATTCTTGGCTTCATCCACTCTACTGTTGTTTCCCTGTAAATTGTTCTTTCTTTCTAATATATCCTTCATTTATGACTGGATCTTTTTTTTTTTTTTTTGCTGTTTAGTTCATTGCTAAGGAACTTGCTAAGTTCCTTGAGCATCCTTATAACCAGTATTTTGAACTCTGCATCTGACAGATTGCTTATCTTCATTTTGTTTAGTTCTTTTTCTGGAGTTTTGATCTGTTCTTTCATTTAGGCCATATTTCTTTCTCTCCTCATTTTGGCAGCCTCCCTGTGTTTGTTTCTATGTATTAGGTAGAGCTGCTTTGATGCTGTGTTTTCGTAGTATGCCCTAATGTTGTAGGTGTTCTGTAGTGTCCAGTGGCACAACCTTGCCTATCACTCAAGCTGGTCACTCAAGGTGTACCCTATGTGTGGGCTGAGTACACCGTTCTCTTATAGCTGAGCCTTGATTGCCGTTGCCAGATCATTGGCAGGGATTTACCCAGGCCAGTCAGCTCGAAGGACTTGCTGTGATCACTGAACACCAACCTCTGTCCTCTGTGGAGGATCAACTGTGCATGGGCAGGGTGGTGGTGCTTTGACATGGTCTGTGGATGTCCATTGGGTTTGCAGGCTCCAGGATTTCCCAGGTGGTGCAAGTTAAGTTTAGCCCCCACCTGTGTACTGCCAAGGGCCACCCCGCATGAGCTATGAAATGGTTTGAGATGTGTGCTACTTGTTCTGGGCTTGGAGATTGCCAGGTGAAGCCAAACTGTTAATCTAGGCTGGCGGCTGCTACTGCCAGGCCTGGTGCCACTTAGCAAGGAGTACAGGGGCTGGGGGCTCACTGAGGCTGGCTGTTTCTTGTTTGTTAGGATTTAGGAAGTTGTGAAGCATGAACCAAGACCAGTCATTCATATGGAACAACATATTGGGTAGGCCTGTAAGTTAGGTGGGACAGAACTTCAGGGGATCTCCAGGGTAGGGCAAATAGAGTTAGTCAGGTTGACGGAGTCTCACATATGGCACCTGCCTGCTGGTTCTGTGGTTTTGTTGGGGGAAGGCTCAGAAAAGGACAATGGCCTCTGTCTGCCTTTCTCTTTAGGGGAAAGCTGACCCCAGCTTCCACCTCGATGCCAGACACTTCAGTTTCTCCCTGTCTGCCACTGGTGCCTTTCGAGGTGCCACCCAGGTGCTGGAGCTCAGAGAGAATGAATCTGAATAATCCGTATGTGGGTTCATTAAGGGGAACTGCTTGGGACTCCAGAAGTTTCTTTCACTTACTCAAACCTTGCTGGATGGGGACTTATCTTCCTGACACTGGGACCTTGGTCTGGGGGTCTTGATGTGGGGCAGGGCCTCCTAATTCCCAAGATATCCCTCCTGAATATTTATCCACCACACGTGGATGTGGAACCAACCTGTTCACGTTTTTGCCTCTCCTACAAGTCTGGATGGATGTGGTTTCTTTAATTCTGTAGTTGTCAGACTTCTATTCATCTTATTTTCTGACAGCTCTGAGTGATGGCTGTTCTATACTTTAGTTGTAAATTTGATGTGGTTGTGTAAGTGAGCCATGTTTACCTATGCAGCCATCTTGACTAGAAGTCCCATTCCATAAATTTATAAAAGCACAGCCTGAGGCTCAGAGAAGTTGTGACTTGTACAATTAAGCACAATTTATTAGTTTATCAGTAGCAGACCTAATATTATAACCCTAATTTACTTTCCTCCATTTCTAATGTTCTCTACCCCACAATGAAGAATTAGACTTCAAGTCCAGATGAAGCACCTATCCTACGGTGGAAGGAGAGGGTAAAGAGGAGAATAATACCTGAAACTCTTCCAAATTCTTCTTATTTTTTCTTTTCAAAATGACATTCAGTTAATCATAATGTAAACTAACCAACAAAACAAACAAATGAGCAAAATAAAACCAGAGACGTGGAAATAAAGAACAAACTGACAGTAACCAGAGAGGAGGGGGATAACGGGGGAAAGAATGGGAAGGGTCATCAAGGAACATGTGTAAAGGAGCCATGGACAAAGACAAAGTGGGGAAGGATTGAGGGTGGGAGGTAAGGTGGGTGGGGCAGGGGAGACTAATGGGGGGGCAACTATAATTGAACAATAAAAATATTCTACACACACACACACACACACACACACACACACACACACACACACACACAATACTTTGAGAGGTTCCTAAGCTGATCTGTTGGAAGTTTTCACTGCTTGAACTTGAGGTCTTTCCTACTTGCTGAATAATGTTTTTCGGAAAGTAGAGGTCTTGATGTACAGAAAGCCCACCTACCTTCTGTCCATACTTACCAGAATGGTAGTCACCACTATGGTCCGATTCTCTGAGGATGCACTGTCATTGCTGATTTGCTGATCCGAAAAGGGCACAAACCTTTCATATTCATTCCAGTAGCCAGCCTAGAAAGAACAGACATTTGACCTGGTTGCCCATTTTTCACTCAAAAGGACACCATGAAATTCGAGTGCTGTTGTGGAATGAAACTTTCTTTTTTTTTAGTTGCTTGAGCTTTATAAGGATTGAAATCTTGTAACCCTCTGTCTTCTACCCTCACCAGGACCAACAGCACGAACACATACGGATGTGCTGTTCCTTCATTCTGGGGGTTCCTATCCCCACCTCATGACCTCATGTTTACTGACATTTTGTAAAGTAATTTAGTTCATGTAGGATGATCAACCTTTTTAAAATTTAAACTCATAGCAGAAAAATACTTTGCTTTGAATTGTAGGAAAGCTGGGGTGTGGAATTGGCAAATCAGTGAGTATCCTGTAAAAGTGACACAAGATATTTTACATTCTGAGGTTTTATAAAATGGCTGCTTAATCCCCAGTTCATGCCTAACTCAGCTATTAGTGTGATAGAAACAAAGTGGCCATTATAACATTTAGCTGTAGAGAAAATAACTTTGTTCAAAGTCCTTTTGGTGGGTGAGTTGGCAAAACGAAGAGATACCTACTTTCCAATTCTTTGGCTAAAACTGTATGTACGTTGGCAGCCTCTGTTTAACTAAAAACATACTGTAAAATTTGTGATTCTTTCCCCTTATTGTTAATAACTCTTGAATCTACCATTTATAGGACCAGACTCAGAGGGAAATACTTCTTTAAAACTGTGTAGATGGAACACTGATTACAAAACAGCTCTGCATCATATCAGTACTATTTGCTGAATGGAAAGGCAGAAATGATGTGTAGGAATCTGCTTTGTGTGTGTTTCTAAAAACTATTTTCTTGCATCTGGGTGCTGTCACATTTTGAAAGAGTTTTACTTTGCATATCTGTTTTGGTTACTTACTTTTCGAGAGCCAGTGACTTTCATTTCATACACATCGATAGTATAATTTGTCCTACGTCCATAAGTGTCAAATTGGATGTTTCCAGTCATTCCTTGTACTTGTACCTGGTAGAGAGGAAAATGTAAAATTTTAAAAAAGCACCACATTATTGCCTTCTACGTCTCTGAGATGAGGCCTGCTGACAGATCTTGCAGTCTTGGAGAACTTTCATTTTGAATCATTGAGCTATATATCTACCAGATCATGTCTATACAGATCTTTATTTTCTCCCTAGTATTTTCCAGATATACCTTATAACTATGAAGCTTTGAGTGGGTGTGATAGGCAGTTACCTGTATGATGCAGTGAGGGCCCTATCACTACTTTTTCAGGGGCCTGAAATTTCCACCACTAGTCTCTTCTTAAGGGATAGCCTGAAGAGTAGTCTGAACTAGGGTAATGCATTCTTCTAAACTGTGTTTCTCGGGGGCTGTGGCTACGTCTTCTCTTAGTATTCTCAATAGCTCAACATAAACTGGTTTCAGTAACATGAGCTTTGGAGCTCCTAGATTCATATCCAAGCTTCATCACTTGCTAACTGTATGACCTTGGGTATGTTCCTTAATACATTTGTACCTCAGTGTCCTAATCTGTAAAAAAAATCCTAGAAGTACCTATCCCTCTCAGTTGTTGGGAGGATTAAATGATTTATAGACATGTAATGTTTAGAACAGTGTGTGACATGTAGTAAACTTTGCAATACTTGCTAGGTATATTAATAATTATTATTAATCAAAGTGAATTTAATTGAATTTCTTAAGAGGGTTACATATTTACCAGCTGCCACAGTAACAGGGTGAGTTTTTCCTCTTATTTAACCTATGCCCAGCTACAGACAGGTAGCAGAGAGCTAGGACTTGGGGAGATAATCCTTAGACTGATGAGATTGGTAAAGTATAAGGAATCAGGAACATGGAGTACTCGATAAGAAAGCTAGAAAATCGAGTAGCCACAGAACCTATATGCAAGACCCATGGACACAAACAATGATGTGGGGATTGTCTGAGGGAGTGGGTGGTGTTGGGTGGAGGGGGGCAAAAGGGAGAAAATTGGGGCACTGTAATAGCATAATCAATAAAATATAGTTAAAAAAAGAAATCTAGAGGTACTGGAACAGCCTGGAAACCTATTTGGTATGCCAAACACAGAATCATGTGTGCCACAATTTTTCCTGGGTCCGGGCCCAGCACTATGAAACTAATAATAACAGGCCATCTCTGCTGGGTGGAGAGAATTCCTTACCTACTTTATAGTTCAGGGATACCACATAAAAGACCCTCTACAAATATAAGTCAATGTGGTTATACACTTGAATCACTCATTTGGCAAGTAAGGGTCAGGGAATTTGCTTCAAAGAGAAAGAATCTGTCTCATTTTTCTAGGAAGAAAGGATGGAATCTTTTTTCATCGCTGATAAAAAGTGACAAGCTGTTAAACAATTCAGAAGTAGTAATGGGATTGTGATGCAGAAGAAGAAATTGATGGCAAATATTAGGGAGCATTTTTTAAAGTGAAAGGGGCTTGCTCACCATAAATAGGAAACTGGAATTCCTGTTGAAGAAAAAATGCTCCAATGTGATTTCCTGGAGACAGGATGATTGTCCTACTGACCCAAAAAACCTTTGCACTATTGTCAGCTTAGGCTTGCAGAGAAGGTGATGTCATACTTCTAGTTAGAGAAAAGGTCCTTTGTTGAGATAGAAATTGCTTATCTAGTAGGATGAATGTGGTGCATTTTGTGATGCATGAATGGTTCTTCACAGTCTATTTTGTACATTGAATTTTAAGAGAGGATATAGGTAGGGCTGAGACACCTGCATAGAAACTTATTAAGGAAATTATTACTGAAAATTCTTTATTACTGTAAAGGTTCAAGTCTCATTAAAATTGTATATTTCTAAAGATCTAGATTATTTAAACATGATACACAAATTAGACAACAGTCTGGATATGTCCAAGAGATTCCAGACCCAATGATTAGAACTTTTGGTGAGAAGTAGACTTGGACTACCACTCAGAGAGAAGTCTATTTTTAAGGATGTGAATGTAATGACAGTTTCTCACCATCCTATCTGGGATCATTTCTATAACTCTCTTCACCCCCACCTCAGTCTATAATAGATATTTCTGTTCTAGGTTCCCATTGTATCCTCTGTAGAACTTAATAAAATATTTTAATCATCTATGTATTTCCATCTACCTTACTAGGTTGGGAGTATCTCAAGATGAGATACATTCTTTTTCTGTGTTCTCATCTCTAATGAGATAGAGCAGGTGTTCAATAAATGGTTACTGAACAAGTGGACAAGTCTCAGTGACTTAACATTGTGACATATTTCAGTAGACTGGGCTGAGGCTGATCTTAACACTATCTGTTGATTATGAGGACAATGATTATCTTATTTACAAGTGGTTTTAAGGTCATTAAAAACATTTGTTTACATAGTAACTATTTAAATGTAAGCTTCCCTCATCTTATTTCATGCTTGCATACTAACGTGGAGTATGATACATATTTATTGGTTCTCGATAAATATTTACTGAATGAATACTGTGCTTATTTATTCATTAAAGCAGACCCCTTAGGAGACTTTATCAGGTAATGCTTTTGTTTGTCAGATTTCTGTGAAGGAAGAGACTGATTTATTGAGCAACAATTATGTGCTAGTCATAATGAGGGATGCTTTTACATCACACATTCTCGTTTTTAATTAACTCATATAAAATGGAATTTCTTTGAACATAGTAAAACTTTTAGGACTTCAAATCATCCATCCTTGCAGTCCTTGTGAATAGTGGAGTTTTACTGAGAATTTATCACAAGGGATCATTTACTATGAAAAAGGTCTATACTTTCGAGCCTCTGGAGCAATAGGAAGAGGTTGACCTGTAGAAAGAGATCATCAAAGAGAGCCAGCTACACAAATTCTTTTGGTTGACTATTTGATAGTTAGGGCCTGGGGAGAAAGGTTACTTACCTGGCTTATAGCTTGAGCTTTATCAGTGAGTTAGACCTGCAGAAATCATGTGTGCAATAGTATAATTAATCTAACTTTTTTCTAGTGACATTAATTTCTTGTCCTTCACTCTAGTAACCAGTTTTTTATTTGGGCAATATAGTTGTCTGTGTCATGAGTGAGGAGTCAATTGGAGATGCTGGAACTTGCCACTTGATATTTTGTTGATGAAAACTCCTTTTGATTCACTCTGAGGGAGTTTTGTATTTTACTCATCATTATGCTTCACCTGACAATACAAATCTTGTAACTGCTATGAAGGTTGAATTTAATTAACTGCTCTTCAAAATTGTGCATTGCTACCTCCATAAAGCAACACTTAGGGCATTTGTTAGGGAACTGACATAATGACATAAAAATATGCATGACGGAATAATGAGTCGTATCTCTTTCTTGGAGAGAGACACAGGGGCTACTAAACCCTGTTGATTGAATGCTTCCAACTTGGCAAATTTAAAGCAACAGTAAGAGAGCCAACTACACAAAATGATATATGTTATGAGGCCATTACAAATTCTTTGTTGCTGGGTTGTGCACAGAATTATCTTACCATTGCCTATCTGTTTATTTGGATGTCCCAAACATCAGAGTAATTAAATAAGTGGAAATAAGAGAGTCTTGTACTCTTGAAGGCTCATTTTAATGCAGGCAGGCACATGTAGCATAAAGCTAAATATTCAGGCAAGAGCTCTTGCTTGGAAAATTGCAATGAATGGGTAATGCCGCTTCTACTTGTAAATAATAGAATCTGTTCAAAGGACACTGCTTAAAGCCTTAAATGATCTACCATGTAAATAGTAAAAACAAGTGATCTATTTGTCTATCCATTGATTTCTTGTATTTTTCTCTAGGCTTTTTCTTTGGGGCACTGGGGTCAGCTTTTTAAGTAGGCCTAAAATGGATCATGTTCCTGCATTTCACCATGTAGAATATTATAAAGGTTCTTTTTGACAACAGAATACTATTACACTGACTTAGTTCCAAAGTCTATCCAGGCTAAAAATTTGTCTGGTAAGCCAGATGATGCTATTGTTCTTTGTAATGTGTACCTTGAGGTTAGGAGCTTCCTAAAAAATATCTCAGTCCCTTTTAGTAACATATTTCTGGAAAGTTTGAAATTTTCAAAGCCATTTACAATGTCAGTCCATAACTTTTGATGATACTGAGTTTGATTTAATACCTATAGCATAGCACAGAACTAAATATTCATTTGCCCTAAATTTTCCATTTTTCAAGCTTCAAGGAAGAAACTTCTAGCTTTAGATTTCTAGATTTTGATGAATAAATATCCATGCTTATCATTCTGCACACTCTGATATTCTATAGACTCTGATCCTATTCCTTTTAGTATTTATTTTCTCAAGATTTGAAGTCTCATTTTTTGTGTTTTTATAAGGCCCCCCTTACCCAAATAATCTATTGTGGTCATTACCATTTTCAGAGCTCTCTCAATATCAATTCCTTGACTCCAGGGCACAGCAGGATTTGCCAAACAGTCTCCAGCACTGCCTCTTCGGGACACATCCACTCGCTGCCTCCTCAGATAACGGAAAGCTTCTGCTATGACCAATATTGCGTCGTGTGTCAATGCAGATGTATACTAAAATATATAGAAAACAAGATATCATGACAAATGATGCCCTCAAACTTGCCTTGTTCCTTACCATTTTCATTCTTCTCTACCTCTTCCTCTACAAAGTCATCCTCTTAATTATTTGAATCAAGAGATCTCTCTGGGCAAACCTGATTTTGATTCATTTAAAAATAATGCTTCTTACTGAATGTGTGCACATGTTAAGATTACTAAGATCATATGGCTCAAGGGAATCTCTCTCTTGCTCTCAATACTGTGTTTCATATTGAGTGATAGACTACTAAAAGGCCAGATCCTTTATAAAGAAAAAAAAAACACGTGAAGTTGAAGGATGGCATATGTAGAATGGAGATGAAACAGTATATCCTAAAGCAAGGCTGGGTTATTACTGTTTCTAATAGAAAATTCAGATCTGGTGTTTACTTAGGGGAAAATGGAAATAGCTAAGTTAGCTTGAAATTAATTTGGAGGGAAACATTAATCATTTCTGTCTAGTTCACATTTCTGGTGAACTAGGACCTCTGGCCAGCAATAAATCAGTTTTTGTTCCTGTGGGGAGCAAAAACCAAAACTGGTGTTCGATTGTAAAAAATTACAATTGTTATTGAGTTTTAAATCTGATAATGTTGACAGTTCACAGGCAATACTTCATGATGTTACCTCTTTCAGGCAAGAACAGTTACTTTCTATTCCTTGGATATATTGGTATGTGTCTACTAAGGTGGAGGCCAGCTACTAAGGTTGAGGCCAGTTACTTAAAACAAGAGATTAGATGACCTGCAATTTCACATGGTGGATGCTGTTTTATTAAATTAATCAATGTTTGATTGAAATAAGATGGCCCGGTTTTGTAGGGGGTGACAAATACTGGTAAAATATAGAATTCTGTTTATATTTTTTAAATTTTATTTATTTATTTTTAGAGAGAGGGGACAGGAGGGAGAAAGAGAGGGAGAGAAACATCAATGTGTGGTTGCCTCTTGCACTCTCCTTACTGGGGACTTGGCCTGCAACCCAGGCATGTGCCCTGACTGGGAATTGAACCAGTGACCCTTTGATTCACAGGACAGCACTCAATCCACTGAGCCATACCAGCCAGGGCAGAATTCTATTGATTTTTAAAAATGAAGCAAAATGTTCTATGGGCAATTGTCTCTATAGCATGTCAAAATACAACTGGGAGTGAATACATTGTCATCTTTACAACTACCAATTTCCTTTTCTGGCTTTTTTTCATGTCTCTGTTCTTTTAGGAGCAAATCATCAAGTGTGACTATAATAGGGGTCATACGTTCTTTATCGTTGTGTCTGCCCATCCTAGCACTACATAAAGTCAATGTGGTGGTGTTTTTTTTCCCCCGACTGTCTTTCCAAGCCATGTCAAAAGAGCTATTTAATATTTTACTTTTTAGCTTCTACTTACCAATGTGTGAGCATGTAAAAAAGCTCCCAAAGGAAAGAGTCATACAATATAGAATAAATTAAGCACCAAGAATTTAATCTCTAGACAATTTTATTTCCTAATAAAAAATATTGTACATCATTTTTAAAGTGGGCTTTTGTCTGATTGATATAGAAAAAGGTTTCTTTTTTTAAACTTTAAACAAATTTTTTTTTACACAAAGGTCACCTAATTGGATATTTCTCTACTTTGTACACAATTATTCTTACTTTCCACAGAAAATCTGCTTAACTTCTCATCCGGAGATGGCAAGCACTAAAATCCTGATTTTAACAGAATAGTAGTAAAAATACCTCAGTGACTTAAGTTGAAAGCAGGACATTGATACATGGCTCTTGCACTTAGTTCAGTAATGTACAAATGTATTTTTATTCAAAAATACAAAATAAATTATCTGTAGGCATGGACAGCAGTAAACCATTATATGTTGTCAACTAAAACCAGTAACTGATGGCTATAGTGATTTTCTTAAACATCAGCGAGGCTTTTCTTCTGTCATTTCCTTCACCTGATGTCTCTGAAGTTATATGGGAGGAGCACTGCTTTGAGCTTCCTCTCAGAGTTCTCATTAATAATGGTGAAGCACTATTCTAAGATTAGAACATGCCATCTCCAAATTCCACCCATCCCACCCACCCCAGGGTCTTCCTCTTCTTTAGGAATTTCTGTGACTACAACTTCTGCTATTGTTAACGGAGAGGCCACTCTGGCAGCATCCAATAAAGCAGTTCTTACAGCCTTAGTTGGGTCAATGATTCCTTTTTCCACTATATTCACAAAATCTGTAAACATAGCATCATAATCAATTTCTCAGGAACTTTGCATAATTTTCTCAACTATCAACACTCCCTCAATGACTGCATTCTTAGCAATGGCCATTGCAGGAATTCTGAGTGCTTTTTAAATAATTTCTATACCAATTTTTTAATCTTAATTAGTTGGAATTAATGAGTCCAAAGCTGGAATGCACTGAAGCAGGGCACAGCCCCTTCCCAGAACAATGCCTTCTTCCACAGCAGCTCATGTAGCATTCAGGGCATCTGTTACTCTGTCTTTCTTTTCATTCACTTTAATATCACTTGTCCCACCAACCTTCAGCACAGCTACACCATCTGAGAGTTTTGTCAGATGTTCATTTAGTTTTTCCTTTTCCTTTCCTTTTGCTAACAATTTTTAGCGACAATGTGGAGAAAACGGAACCCTCGTGCACTGTTGGTACAGCTGCTATGGAAAACAGTATGGAGGCTCCTCAAAAACTAGATATCACTAGTTGTGATATCTAACTGCTCGATGATTTCTTTAATATGTTTTTCATTTTGAGCCTTGTCACCTTTTCCCTTCAAGAGCATGGCATCATCTTTGGTCACAATGACCTCTCCAACTTTTCCTAAGTCATGAGGCTGAACATCTTCAAGATTTAGACTTAATCCTTTTTTTCCAAACACTGCACCACCAGTAGCAATAGTCATGTCTTTACGCTGGTTCTTTCTATTCTCACCAAAACCTGGAGCTTTGACTGCTACAACCTGAAAACCAACTATTATTGAACAGAGCTGGGGAAGTCCCAAAGTATAAAAGATGGTGTAACTGTTGCAAAGTTCATTGACTTAAAAGATAAATATAAACATATCGACACTAAACTTGTTCAAGATGTTGCCAATAATACAAATGATGAAGCTAGTGATGATGCCACCACAGCTACTGCACTGGCATGCACTATTGCCAAGGTGGGCTTTGAGAAGATAAAAGTGCTAATCTAGTGGAGATCGGGAGAGGTGTGATGTTAGCTGTGGATGCTGTAATTTCTGAATTTAAGAAGCAGTTCAAACCTGTGACAATCCCTGAAAAAATAGCTCAGGTTGCTACAATTTCTGAAAATAGAGACAAAGAAATCGTCAACATAATTTCCGATGTAACGAAAAAGGTTGGAAAAAAGGCGTCATCACAATAAAGGATTGAAAAACACTGAATAATGAATTAGAAATTATTGCAGGCATGAAGTTTGATCGAGGTTCTATTTTTCCATACTTCATTAATACAGCAAAAGGTCAGAAATGTGAATTCCAAGATGCCTATGTTCTATTGAATGAAAAGAAAATTTCTGGTGTTCAGTCCATTTTACCTGCTCTTGAAATTGCCAATTCTCACTGTAAGCCCTTGGTCATAATTGCTGAAGATGTTGATGGAGAAGCTCTAAGTACACTTGCTTTTATATAGAGAAAGGTTTCCTAATGACTGGTAGTAAGCAAAAGTAATGTGAAAGTTGTAACCATCTATTTAAATATTCTATTTTCTTAAGTTATTTGATGGGTTTTACTCATAAACATTAACAGTTTCTTTTCAGTAGGTTCTGAGAACTTTAATGAATTTTAAGTGAATAATCCAAAGGTCAGATTATTTTCCTTGTCTTTTGTAAAACCTCTGAAGTGGCATAAAGTACTCTGTTGTAGCCTTTTTATACTTTTACCCTTGTCCACTTTTTGTGCTTGACACAGTGCCTGACATACTGTAGGTACCCCCTAATATATTGAATAAATAAAAATTTCTTCTCTACCTATTACCTACTAAATCTAAGGATAGGAAAGTAGTGGATAGACAGTTTTATGAAAATCTAAATTTATATAAGTTCACCTAAACCTAGCTGATGGATTTAGTACATAGAATACATTAGAATCTTCAGGGAATGCAAATTAAAACCAAAATGAAACATCACTTCATGCCTGTTAGAATGGCTATTATCAAAAAGACAAGAAATAACAATTGTTAGTGACAACGTGGAGAAAAGGGAACCCTCGTGCACTGTTGGTACAGCTGCTGTGGAAAACAGTATGGAGGCTCCTCAAAAAATTAAAAATAGAACTACTGTATGAACCAGCAATTCTACTTCTGGGTATTTATCTGAAGGGAATGAAATCACTATCTCAAAAAAAATCTGTACCTTCTATTTATTGAAGAAATATTTATGATAGCCAAGACATGGAAACAACCTAAGTGTTCTTCAGTGGATGAAGGGATAAAGAAGATGTGATATATACAGTAGAGTATTATTAAACCATAAAAAAGAAGGAAATCCTGCCATTTTCAACAACATGGATGGACCTTGAGGGCCTATGCTAAGGGAAATAAGTCAAAGACAAAAAAACTGAACTCATAAAAATAGGGAACAGATTGGTAGTTGCCAGAGGTAGGAGTGGGGGTAGATGGGGGGAAATTGGTGAAAGTGGTCAAATGGTACAAACTTTCAGTTATAAGATAAATAATTCTTGGGGATGTAATGCAGAGCATGGTGAATATACTATACTGTATTTTTGGGGTTTTTTTGTTTGTTTTTTTTTCTCATTAAACTGTTTTAATGAGTCTCAAAATTCTGTGACAGATTTTGGTCAAGTTGTTTCCATTAAAAAGTACTGATTTTAAAAACTAATAACTTAAAAACTGCCACACACAAAAAAACCAAATGGTCCACAAAACATTCTCTTTTCCTTCTGAAGGTTTTACGATGCATTGTAATCATTAACCAGTCCTTTACTATTAAACTTAAGTG